GGCCCCCATTTCTTGTGTGCTTTTGATGCTGAAAGAATGTAAAGAAAAAGAAAAGAATGAAGGAAAGATGAAGACTCACTTGTCTTAGTCAGCGTTCCTTGTCAACCTGATGTAGCCTACAGTCACCCAAAAAGGGTTTCTCAATTGAACAGCTGTCTTCATCAGGTTGGCTTGTGGGCAAGTCTTGACTGTGAATCGATGCAGTTGGTCCCAGCCTACTCTGGGCGGCACCATTCCTCAGGCAGGTGGTTCTAGGCTATTTCAGAAAGCTAGCTCGGCATGAGCCCGGGAACAAGCCGGCAAGCAGCGTTCCTCCAAGATTTGTGTGCAAATTCCTGCCCAGGCTGCGCTCAGTGATGGGCAGTGACCTGGAAGTGTAAGCCGAAATAAAGCCCTTTCTTCCCCTCAGTTGCTTTTCGGTCATGGTGTTTATCGGGGCGACAAGATGAAAGTAGAGCTCCACCTCTCTCCCTCCCTCAAGAAGGCCCGGGGAAGCGTGGTGACGAGCTAAGCGGCTTAGTTTTAGTTTAGGGACAAAACAGGGTGCCCTCCTTGTGGCAAGTCCTCCCCTCCACATTTGGCATGGAATGGAGGTGGGGCCGGCGGTCCTCCATCCCAATGCCTGACACACACAGATCCAAGCTCATCAGCCATAGCTGTGTGATAATCTTCAGGAATAGTCAGTTCGCCCTCTCCTCCGTAGGTGTGCCATACTGGTACTTTCCAGTTCTTTGCTTCTGGAGACGCCATGGCGGAACGTTCTGAAACTTGTACCTCTGTCCAGCTTGTTTGTCTTCTCTCCTTTCGTGAATCATCAAGTGTCTTGGGGCAAAGTCCATTTCGTGTTAGCATCTGTCAGCCATCACTTAGCCCTTGGCCGTGACGTCGTCTTAAGGGACACACAGTCCCATGGTCATTAGCAGAGGCAGGAGGATCATCGTGAGTTTTAAACCAGCTTTAGGCTGGATAGCAACACCCTGTCTCAAAAAAGAAAAGAAACAATTATTTATGACCTGAACAAAGAAGTTTCTAGAATATAGGTTCATACAAGTAAGGACCCCCCCCCCAAAAAAATAGCAGCGCAGTCCAAGACCTGGTTGAGACTGCCTGCGTCTGAACTCTGGTGCAAGCAAGGCAGGAATGTAAATCTACAGACGCCTGATTGGGCTAAGGCCCATGACTAAGTGGCAATAAACTTTGTCTAAGTGGCAATAAACCTCATTCCTCTGGCTGGGTCTTGAAGCAGGTGCGTGTGGCTGGCTCTCAGCAGCGCAGCCGTGATTGGGGAAGGGCTTCATAAGGGACTTAGCTTTGGTCCTCTGGTCCCGTTCATCTTCGCACTTCTTGATTCCAGCCGGCTGAGGGCTTGGCTGCTGTTGTTTTTTGGTTTTGTGTTTGGTTTGGATGCTCGGTTTCTGTACAGCCAGTGCTGGCCTCGGCCTCCCAGCCCTTCCCTTCGCAGCTTCACTGCCGGGAGGACCACATTCATCTCTGAGTGCATTCAAGAGTAGGCTGTCTCTCGTCGCCAGACAGAAGTAGAGAAGGGCTGGGGCTGCCTGCTTAGGCAGGAGACGGAACATTGGTGTGTGCCCCGAGAGTGTGAGCTGAGCACTGGGCATGCAGTGCGTTCATTTCTCACTGCTCTGAGCTATGTACGCCCTGTGATCAGCTGTTTAAGTGGGTTCCCTGATATGATGGACGGCGACCTGGGATTGTGACCGAAATAAGCAAGCCCTCCTTCCTCTTAAAATACTTTTTGTCAAGATATTTTGTTATCATAACAGAAAGGAAACTCAGAAAGAGCCCCACAAGCACAGCCGGCCAGACTTGTTCCTCAGGCCCCAGTTTCGGTGGGTCCCTGAGGTGGTAGCACGTCAAAAGCTGGGAAAGTAGGACTGTTCTGGGATGTAAGGACTTGAGAAACCACCAGCCACGTGGTAGGTCCATTTGGGGACACATCATGAGGGCTAAGAGGGCAGGTAATATCTAAGGAGACACTCTTGTGTAGTGCCCACATTCCCAGGCATGCTTTCTCACCCTTTCTCTCCCCCCCCCCAGGCGCCCTTCCTCACTTCTGGAGTGTGCCCCACTCCCTCATGTTGTCCCCCAGCATACAGGTGCCAAGACACGACTGTGTCCCTTTCCTTTCAGGGCTTCAAGCCAGTGATGTCACCCGTGGACTGCCATGTCAGTGGGACTCTAAGTGGCTGCCTCCCCTTCCTCAGGGCCCAGGCCTTGCTTCAAGCAGGGAGGACATGCCCACCTGCTCTGCCCCGGGGGGGGGGGGGTCACGTCAGCGCTTAGGTAGGAAAGCGGCCCACAGGTGTCAACCCATCATGGAGGTGTGGCTCCCTCCTCTTCATCCCATCTTTTCCTCTTGCAGCTCTTCCTCTGCCCTCCTCCCTCCCCTAACGCACGGGGAGTGTCACCTCCTTACACGCGCCCCCCCCCCCCCCCCCCCCCCCCCCCCCCCCCCCCCCCCCCCCCCCCCCCCCCCCCCCCCCCCCCCCCCCCCCCCCCCCCCGGTGCTTCTCCAGTCGTCATCCCCGCCGTTCTTCCAGGATCCCAGAAACCTTTCCACAGGGGTGTTGTGAATTTGGATATTTACCACGGTGACCCTTGAACCCCAGTGTCATCAGAATCACACAGAAGATTTGTTAAAAACGAACTGCTGGGCCCTGGCCCTGAGACCATCGCTCTTGTGCAGGTGGTCTGGGCTGGGCCAGAACGTTAGCTTTCTAACAAGCTCTTAGGTCTAATGAGGCCGCTGGTCCAGGCAAGATAACTCTTTCAGAATAGCTGCCTTCTTTGCTCCCGCTTCCTTCCCTCTTCCCATCCCACTTCTCTCCAGAAGCAAAGCAGAGTTTATTATAAAGTAAATAGATTGGCTTACTTCTGTAAAATAAATCTTAGGCTGAGCAAATGGACTTAGATATTTTTCGCCTGAATTGGACTCATGCACTTCTTCAGAACCTAAAATGGACTGGGAAGACGGCTCCGTGGATGAGAGCACGTGCTGGGCCGTGCAAGTGTGAGGGCTTGAGTCTGAACCTCCAGCACCCTTGTAAAAAGATGGATGTGGCTACAGCCGGCGACCCCAGCACTGGGGAGCTGGAACCGAAGCTTGGGGAAGGCGGGGAATCCTAGGAGCTGTCCAGCCAGCCATCCTCGCCAAAACAGACAGATTTGGGTTCAGTGAGGAAGCTTGTCTACACACACACACACACACACACACACACACGCACGCACGCACACACGCACACATACACACACATGCACGCGCGCACACACACATATGCATACACATACACGGAAAGTCTGGCAAACTGTAGCAAGGGGAACCTAAGGAAGCGTGTCATGTGGCATGGTTTCCACAGTGGAACAGTCAGTAAAAAATGAAGGTATGAAGTGTACACTACCGAGTTTCCTAGAAAGTACTGCAAGGCCAGCAAGTTACACCTGCAGCTGTCCATACAAAAAAAGTTGAAACAGTACGGTCATTAAGCCAAGAAATACCATGGCCTCCCGGAAGGAGGGGGAACTAGAGGAAGAGACCCGATGAGAGGCAGGAATCTTTGAATTACCCCTTTGGAGTTGGCCTTGGAGCCGTATGCTTCACACAATTCTATAAACATAACTAGATCTAAATTAAAGTGCAAGCCCTATAGACAAGTAGATAAATATAGTAAGTGGACCCAGATGTTCTGTACACATGTGAGTGCAGAATGCGACGTGAGGCAATCACCTCAGGCAGCCTCAGAACAGAAATTTTGACTGAAACATATGCTATAGAAAAAATATGTAAAACTGTCGCTACCAGTAATGCTGGGATTGCTTTTCCAAAGAAGCAAGTACGTAGTTTTGTTAATGTTAGGAACCTAGGTAGGGTTTGTTTCGTTTGGGGTATACATGTGAGTGCCTATGTGTTTGTATGTGCACCACATGTATGCCTGGTACCTGAAAAGGCCAGAAGAGGGCGTTGGAACCTCTCTGGAGCTACAGTTGCAAGGGATTGTGAGCGACCTGATGTGGGTGTCGGGAACCTCAACCGGGTCCTCTTAAAAGAACAGCAAGTGCTTCTAACTGCTGAGCCATCGCTCTAACCCCAATAATCTAGCATTTGGCAAACTAAATGCAATATAGAAAACCAAAAGTGTGATGAGAAAACTATAGGTCAAAATTCCTAATGAGAATAGATGCAGAGCTCCTCAACAAAACAACCAGTAAACAGAATATTTAATATTATATCAGAATTATGTACTGTGGCCAGCTGGGCTATCCCAGAAATGCAAGGTTGGTTTAATATAGGACCACCAGTCAATGTGATAAACCATACTAATACAGCAAAAGACAAACGTCAGCAAATGTGGGAGGAGGGGAAGCATTTGACACATCTAAACTTAAGACGTTCCACAGACTAAGAATATCAGGAACTTCTTGCTAAGTGGCCAGTGGAAAGCTACACTACTCAGGGATGAAGGCTACCCCCCCCCCCCAACACTCTGCCAGAAGATCAGGAGCAGGACAAGATGTCTGCCCTTGCCACTTCTACCTAACATTGCTTTACAATCTCCAAAGCAGGGCAGTCAGACAAGAAAATAAGTAAATAAATTAGTGGAAGGCTTCTAGGTTGGAAATTTAGTAAAATTCTCTCTCTCTCTCTCTCTCTCCCTCTCTCTCTCTCTCTCTCTCTCTCTCTCTCTCTCTCTCTCTCCCCCTCTCTCTCGTGTGTGTGTGTCTGTCTGTGTCTGTGTAAGCCTGACTTCATACAAAGGCAAGGGTCTCTTACATAGGTCCCACTCAGCTAGCAGTAGAACTAAGACACCACGGGACCAAGGACAATAGAGTCCTGCAGCGGCTAAGGTCATTCCATCTCTCTCCTACCCTAATGGCTGGAAAGGTCATGGGACTCCCATTTAGCCTGGCGCCGCATCTGCGATCCTGCCACAGTGTGGAAACTGAATGGTGACTCTGGCTCACACCTGTCTCTCTCCCTCCAGCTGCAACGGCAAGCGCTACCTGGAGACACTCCCCAACACCAGCATCATCATCCCCTTTCACAACGAGGGCTGGTCCTCACTGCTCCGCACCGTTCACAGCGTGCTCAACCGCTCACCCCCAGAACTGGTGGCCGAGATCGTGTTGGTGGATGACTTCAGTGATCGAGGTAGGCCGTGCTCGCCCTGGCTCTGCTCCCTGAGCTCCATCATCACGGGAGGGGGTGTTACCCACAGAGGCGTTCTCCAGCCGTGTGATCCATGATTCCCTATTTACTCAACAGCTACTACGCAGACCTTGTACTTTACACACGATCTCTTTTCGCATTCACAACGTCCCAGCAAACGGATCCCGTTTTAATCCCTGTTTGTCGGTTTGGAAATGCAGATGAGCAACAGCTGGCATAACCATGGATCACCTGTCTTCCTATTTACAGGACTGGGTGTATCTTGCATTTGGGTGCTGTCTAAGTTTGCTTTCCATCGCTGTGATAAACACCATAACCCAAAGCAATTTGGAGGAGGAAAGCGTTTACTTTTATGGTCACAGTTCATCACTGAAGAAAGTCAAGTCGGGGATTAAGCCAGACCCAGGCCCACCTGCTAGGGATAGCGCCGCCCACAGTGGCCAGACCCTCCTGTATCCATTAGCAATGAAGACAGTGCCCTGCATACTGGCACACGGGCTAGTCTCATCAAACCATTCTTCAACTGAGCTTCCTTTTTGTCAGGTGACTCTAGGTTGTGCCAAGTTGGCAGTAAAAGCTGATCAGAACAGGGGCTGTTGCTTTAAAAAAAAAAAAAAAAAAAGACAGTTAACTCATTCAATGCTGCTTCCCCTTCCTCCTGGTCACAACATGGCTGCTGAACCCTTGGAAGTTCTGGCCAAAAGACACAGCCTCCTCCTGTCGAGCTTTGTCTTCTTTTTCTAGAAGTTTCTTCAGAACCGTTTGGCCAGAACTCTGGAATCTGGTCCCTCTATCTGTGTGGAAGGCTACCAGCATGAGACTTTGTGTCTGTGGTAGAGGCGGAAGGTTGGAGTCGTGGTAAAAGGGTGTCAAGCCAGTCTGCCTGTGGCATTTACCACAGCATGGCACAGGCACGGAGCTGTGTCTCTGTGCCTCCAACCGTGTGACCTTATCCATATACAGAGACTGTGCATCTCATCTGGGGATGGAAGGACACGGAGGTGCGGTCTCAAATGCAGTTCAAGACGGACTGCCTTCCAGCTCGTGGCCTCCCACTTCTAGGCCATCCGTAAGGTCTGTGAACCTGTGACGGCAGTGGGAGGCCTTCCTGCCACGCAGCTCTTAGCAGCAAGCCTGGAAATAGTTAGCCTCTGACCTTGCCCCTGACTCCCACTTTCTCTGCAACCTTAGCCCAGGCTCCTGACCCCCTCTTGTGCTTCAGCTCCCTCATGTGTGAAAAGGAATAGTTAATACCGACTTCCTTTTGGGAGTCTTGAGTGTTAAATGGGTTACTAGATACTAGACAGGTGCTTGGGGCCATGCCTCACCCAGGGAGAATAAAAATAAGGGTTCCCAAAAGGAAGTTCATCTTAACTATTCCTTACAAGTTTTTCTCTCCATCCCCATGTCACTGTGACCACGTGCACTGGCTTCCAGGTGCTCCTGTCCATCCCTGTGTCACTGTGACCACACACACTGGCCTCCAGGCTCTCCTGTCCGTCCTCGTGTCATTGTGACCACACACACTGGCCTCCAGGCTCTCCTGTTTATCCCTGTGCCACTGTGACCACACATAGTGGCTTCTGGGCTCTCCTGTCCATCCCTGTGTCACTGTGACCACGCTCTATCCCAGGCTCTCTTCCCTTTAGCCTCTCTGACATCCTGAGCACTTTCCCTCCTTCTCAACAGAGAGGATTGCCAAGACTCTGGCACTTACGGAATCTCAATTAGTTTGTAATGAAGGAAATCTATAAACCTTCGGGGAATGTCTGGCAAAAACACAGGGTGCAAGAATCGATGTATTTATGGGACGTTCTGTGCATCTTTAAGAAAGCAAAAGCTAGGGTGTGTGAATCAAGCACTATATAAATGATGTCCTGGGATAAAAGAGAATCGGGTGAGTGTGTTCAGATTGCATCTGAAGCATTGAGAGCTCCGGTGTGTGGGAAAGGATCGTCTCTGTCGCGGAAAATAGCTGCATTTTATTTTCAGAAAGTGACACTTCCACTGAGGCGGTGAGCCGTCTGCATTTTAAAAGTTTGCACAGCAGGAGCATTCAGCTGTGCATTTTCTCCTGGTTTTCTGTGCTGACTTCAAGCCCGACCGTGAGTGATAGTGTGTGTGTGCGCGCGCACACGCACGTGCGAACACGCTCACGCACATGAGTAAAGCCATAGCTAGTCTCAGATATCATTTGTTTTAGTTTCGTTTCTGTTGCTGCCGTAAAACACCCTGACAAAAGCTTCTTGCCGGGAAAGCGTTTATTTGAGTTCAGTTTCAGGCGACAGTCCATCACTGCAGAGAAGTCACAGTGGCAGGAACTTGAGACATCTGGTTAGATCACATCCGTGATCAAGAGCAGAGAGAGGTGAATGCGTGTGTGCCTGTTTGCTTGTTTGTGCTCAGCTTGATTTTTTTTCCACTCTTAGACAATTCATGATCTCCTGCTTAGGGAGTGGTGCCGCCCACAGTAGGCTGGGTCTTCTCATCAAGTAACTTAAGTAAGACAGCCCCTCATAGACATGTCCACAGGCCAAACCAATGTAGGGAGCCCCTCATTGAAACCCTTTTCTCAAGTGATTTTCTGTTATATCTTGTAGGAAATTTTTAAAAATTATATTTTATTTGGTGTGTGTGTGTGTGTAAGCATGGGCATGAATTTGAGCACAGGGCAACTTGCGGAAGTCTCTTATCTCCTTCCACCATGTAGGTGCCAGAGATGCGGTCATTGGGCATTTATTGAGCACCTTTACACACCAAGTCATCTCGCCACTCAGAGTAAAGCCAACCTTCACCTCATTCCTCAGGAGCCATCTACCCTGTGTGTTGTTGTTTGCTTGCTTTTGAGACAGAGCCTCTAAATGCCCTGGTGCTTGCCATCCAGCTACATTAGCTGTCCGTTGAGCCGCAGGATTCACCTGTCTCAGCGTCGCCAGCTCTGAGGTTACAAGCATGGACTGCCATGCCCAACTTTCCACGTAGGCTGGAGAATCAGACCCAGGTCCTCTTGCTTCTGCAGCAAGCGCTTGACTGACTGAACCAGCTCCCCGGATCCTGAAAACAAACTTGAAACGGATTCCGTGTTTCACTAAAAGTGTAGTGAGAAAGAAATGAAGCCAGGTGGAGCAAGACATCAGAGTTCCTTGCAGGAAGGTCCCCAGGGAAAGGGCATGGAAAGGGCCGTCCATCTGTCTGCCCGTGGCTGCTGGGCCACTCTGTTAGCTGAAAGCTGGTGGAAGTGATTTTGACCCAGGCTTGAGAATGAGATGGCATTTGAGGTGAAATTAAAAGTAAGACCTTCCTTGCTATGTCACTTGATCTAGCCGAACCCTGCTGCGTGTCACCCAGGTTGAGCTCATTAAGTGGGGAGCAGACAAAGGGAAGTGGCCAGTGACACCGAGAGAGTCTGACTGTACCAGGGCTGTTGTGAGCCACCGGTTTGGATGAGAGACGTCCCCCACAGGCTCATGTGTTTGAACACTCGCTCCCCAGTTGGTGGTGCCCTTTGGGGGAAGTAGAGCCTAGCCAGAAGAGGTGAGTCAGTGTTAGCCCTGAAGGTATATCCTAGCCCCACTTCCTGCCCACTTTCTGCTTCTGTGTCCCTACAGACTCCATGAGTCCCAGCCACATGCTCCCTGTGCTTTGGCCTCCACCATGCTATCCCGGCCATGATGGACTGGGCTTCCTCAAACCGTGCCTGAGCTAGAATGCAGCTTTCCTCGCCTATGTGGGTTACTTGGTTACAGCGAGAAGAGAAAAGTAGCTAGCTGATAAGAGTGATGTAAACACATTGTAGCTAGTTGACAGGAAGCCTTGGCCCAAAGCATTGGCCCAAAGGGAAAATTCATATATTTATATCACCCCCAAAGTGTAAGAAATCTACACGCCCACCCCGAACTGGAGCACCACCTCCTAGAAAAAACAGTAAAAATGATTAGGTAAAACTTCGAAATATTCAGTCATTTCATTTGATCCTTATCCATGTATCAAAAAGAGATGGTCTCCTTTTCTCATTTATCATCAACATTAGTCCGATCCTTTAAATAATATTGTTTATACTTAGCTAAGGAAGGGCATTGGCCAAAGAATAGGTGTTATCTCCTGCCAGCACCAACACACATACACACGTGCATACACATGCACACATACAAACACACAAACCAGTACCAACATACACAGACATACACACACACACACAGACAGACAGGCATGTGCATGCATATGCACATATGCCTGTATACACACCCATAGACACACCAGTACATACATGTGTTCATATGCGTGCATGTACACACCCAGGCATTTGCATACATAGGCATGCACACACTAATACTGACATACATACATCAACACACATGCATCCGGATGCATGTGCACACAAACACACACCAGTGCCAATTCATACAGACATGCACACCAACACATACATGCATGCATAAGCGTGCCCATACACACAGAGACACACACCAGCACCAACGCATAGTGACATGCACACTGACACACATGCATGTGCACACAGGCATGTGCACACAAACAGATGCACACACCTAGCAGCCTCCAGATGTGGTCATGGCTCACAAAGACCACAAGAACTCTTCCTGCTTTTCTCAGACTCCAGGCCTGTCTTATCAGACATCCGCCACTCCAGAGCCCTCGTTGACTTGATCTGAGTCCAGAAACACCTTTGAAGCTGTTACCATCTGCCTTAAAATGCTACTGGTTCTCATAGCTCCAGATAGGCACAGCGCCACAGCCCTGAAGATTAGGGAGGCCAAACCCTCACATTTGTGTGTTTTTATTCCAAGAATTTCTGAAAGAAGAGAATAGAGTCCACTACTCTCCAGCCTTGGAAGCTTAATTTCTCTCTCTTTTCCTCTGCCTTCCTGCCTCAAACTAATAAATTTTATGAACATGTAATTTTTACATCGTTAAAAAGAACAAAGGATCAGGCCTGTGTTGAGGCCTCTTGTGGTGACATTCGT